ACAAAAAGTAATTTTATGTTCCTGTTGCTCAGTGGTAGAGCATTGCGTTAGCAGCGCAAAAGGTCGTGGGTTAGATTCCCAGGGAACACACATACTGGTAAAAAATGTATAGCCTGAATGCACTGTAAGTCACTTTGGATAAAGCGTGATAACCGTGATAATTGTGGTCACTATAATCGTGATAAGAAAGTGCTCAAAAAGATCATAAGTAAACCAATATTCTTCAAAAAGCTCTCAGCCATGTCATCATCTCATATATGAGACACCCGCGATTCTCAACTACTAATGCACTCGCATTCACGTAAAGTAGCCTTGTTAACAAGTTTGGGTGAGTAAGGGTAAAACGCACAAGATCTAGTACCTTCAATGCCCTGTAGATGGCAATATCACTTCTTCTGTAGCAGAAAAAGTGCTGCAGAAAAAGTTAGGTGCATGTAAAGCCTAACAAAAAGTTAAGTAATTTCATTCCTCATCACAAATGTATTGGAGTAAAGAGTACATATACTTACTCAAAAATGTAGTCAAGTAGAGCGGAAAAGTTGCTAATATCTTTGATACCAGAGTTGTCAAAAGCACCAATGTCGGTACTGAAATTTAAGAAATGTGACGATGCCAGCATTTTCCGCTAGCATTTTGAGTGCTGTTGTGTAGATTCTCAAACATCTCTGATTGGCCATTGTGTTCTCGTACTCAACAGATATGTCTGTGATTGTCTAGAAAGATCATCGCTTCACGCTCGGCACTTTTTACAACACTATTTGATACTCAGTAAAACTACAAAGTAGCCAAAAAGATACTTAAGTATACAGTAACTAGTTACATATACTCATACTTTACACCACTGTAAGCAATACTTTTGTTTTAGTACATTCTCTCAAAAAAAAGGTCCAAAAGCTGTCACTATGGCAGTACCTCCTACATTTTTGTCCTTATTTACCCCAGTAGGGTGCATATTAGTACCTAAATGGTGCATGTTTGTACCTTTTGAAAAGATACCACCCAAGTGACAGCTTTTGTCCCTTTTTTATTAATCTTTCTTATTTAAGAAAAATACCACTGTACTGTATATTGTTAGTTCATGTTTGCTCAGCTCCATAAATAATAACAGATACAACTTTTGGTCTTTTTAATATATTAGTAAATGTTGAAGCAAACATTAAGATTAATAAATGAGTTAGAAGTATTTTTATGTAATTCACTAATGTTGTTGTAAAGTGTTACTGGCTAACGGTTACATAAAATCAATATCACAGTCCCTATCATGGTGGTCTGAGTGACTGCTGCCGAATCATGTTTGATCAACAGCACTCTTGCTCGTGCTATAGTTATACATTCAGCAGCACTTCGCATCTTGGGGCTTTGGACTGAATTAACCTGAAATAACATACACAAAGTAAAGTCTGATGCACTCATATGTTTGTAGATTTTCACAGATGTCTCTAATCATCTTGAATGGCTTGTGTTCACTCCGCTATTTTTCATTTGACAGGCACAAGATGCAGTTAAGGATTTTTATTTATTTAATTATTTAAAGTGGAATATTTTTTTCAAAACACAATATTTTAGGCAACTAGGGGGTCCCAGTGTCCTCTACATGTATCTCTCCTGTAATTCAAGCACAGCATTTGTTTCTAATCCATTTCAAGGGTGTATCTCTATTCGCACGTCCACAGATTATTTACACTGCTGGGATGGTGAAATATAAAAGTGTGTAAACGGGCGGTTTCATTATATGAGGTCATAACCAGAATGTGCTCAGAACCCTACTTAAAAGATCCATCAATATTAATGTAGGGTGTAATTGTCTTTTTCTAGCTAGCAGTGTTTGAAAGCAGCACACTTTTCTTTGTATTTGCAATTTGGGTTTTAATCAGCAACTCCAAGGAAGCACATAAACACCAGGTGATTTCAACAACGATTTGAAGAATCAAACGTGGGCACTTATATTAGGCTACGCAGTTACGCTTTTGAGCTAGAACTGTTTGTTTTACCCTTAAGACAAAACCCCGCAGGAAAATTAAGTTGACATGCAGCATGACTTTGCTTTCAGCTTTGTCTCAATGTTTACAGCAATGAGATAAAAATCATTTGACATCTGAAAGGAAATGTCCTGTAGATGTATTGCAGATGAGCAAACACTATAAAAAATACGTCTTGCAGATGTCAAATAGATGTCTCTGTAATGTACATAGGCTGTCAGGGAGGATTCTCTAAAGAACTTAGTCAGGTTAGACACCATACTTTTTTTAATGTGGATGAAATGGCACGCACTGTATTGCAATTTTCACTACTCACAACTTTAAAAACTGTTTATTTTTTATGTTTTATGGAAGACGTTTTGTTAGCTAAACAATACTTATGTTGTTAAACAACAGTACAATCCATTGAACCCAGAGAATCCCTCACAGCCTCATTTTCATTCCTGTCAAAAAATTAAATATGCCGCTACCCTGACTGAGGTCTATTGGTTGATGTCTTGCTCTAGAGTCAGTCATACGCAAATTTACACACAAACAAGCCATTTTTGGAGGTTGGTTAAATAAATGCTCTTTTTGTACTGAGAAGGATGTTTCAAGCTACAAAACTTGTAAAAGTTATGCCATTTAAACTTGCAGTTTTAATGGTATAGAGATGTCAAAACATCAAGGAAAAATTGATTTTTTTTTGATGTCATGACCCTTTTAAGACGTTTTTCACACTTGGTTTCAACCTTTCATGGTGGAAAAATGGGGACTTTTGTCCCGGGCCTCGTGAAGGAGGAGGCCCACTGAGGTTCATATATTCCACTCACAGGACAAAATGAAAAGGGGCTCACCCATAAAATGTATGTCCCTAGTCGCTACTATCCAATTTTGCCAGACTCAACTACATTTTCTAGCATACCCGGGAAATCAGCGGGGATCTGATCAGGGCTCCTGAAGTCGATCACTCCTCCATGTGTTGACACACTACAGCCTTGTATGTCTATACCATCATGAAATTCTAAATACCGTGAAATGGTTACAGACCATAATTTAGGCAGGAGATGACAGAAGGTCAGACACCTGAACGTCTCGGTAGCCATTCATCCGGAAACCCTGAGTATTTTTGACATCCTCACTGTGAGATGAATGAAACAGGTGAAGCCACGCTGCATAAGCACCCACATTACACTCTGTGAAGTAAAAGATGGATTTAAACGGTAAAGGCTACTGGGATTTACACGTTTTTTAAAGGGGTCATATGATGCAATTTAAATTTTTCCTTTCTCTTTGGAGTGTTACAAGCTCTTGGTGCATAAAGAAGATCTGTAAAGTTGCAAAGACTAAAGTCTCAAATCCAAAGAGATATTCTTTATAAAAGTTAAGAGTCAGTCACGCCTACCTAAAACGGCTCGTTCTAACACGCCCCCACACGTCTACATCACTATGTGGGAAGATTTGCATAACGCAGCACAAATGTTCACGCAAAGAAAGAAGGTGTAACTTTTATTCTCGCTGTAGTATTGTTGCTGCCGCCATGTCGTGAAGACGCTGTGTGCTTCGTTGTAAAAACTAAACTTCTTTGTTTGGTCTTCCGAAAGAGGACGATATGGCTTCGTCATGCCTGGAGCTGATCCGTGCTGGTCGCTGAGGAAATACATCAACTTCGCGCTGCGGATCGCCGGATCGGCTTTCACCGTGGACGAAGCGGAGTCCAGCCCGGGGTCGTCACATGTGGTTGCCGCAGGCATCCCAATATGGTAAGGGACGTAACATTTCCGTCACACGCTTGAGGTATTCGGCCAATCACAACGCACTGGATAGCTGGCCAATCAGAGCACACCTTGCTTTTCAGACCGATGAGCTTTGTAAAAATCGACACGTTTCAGAAAGGCGGGGCATAGAGGACAAACAATAATGTACAGTATGTGGAAAATTAAACCGCATAAACACATTTCATTGCACCAAATACACAAAATAATGTTCTTTTTTGCAGCATCATATGACCCCTTTAAGCAAATAAATGTCAGCGGTACAACCTGTCACCTTCTGTCATCACTGAGCCTATTTCTATTTAAAGCAGAGCGGAAAGGGAACAAATTGCAGCATGTATGTTTAAATATGCAGAGCTGAATTTCACACACACCTATGGAAAATCATATAAGCGCATTTAAAAAGCTGTGAAATTACATTAGGCTCTGTGCTGTATTTCACAGAAGCCACACACACCCGTAATGTCAGAGTTTATTCGGAATAAATATAATAGGGTCCCAGATTTCTCTCTGGATCGCTGTCTGGATTACATCATTTCAGCACATATTCAGATAGATGCATCCAACCATTAGCTGTGATGGAGATGTCGGTGGCGTATTGAGATGGATCGCTGTGTGATGATGTGGATCTACACTCGGGTGGATCAATGAACAGTCTGGGATTGAAAATGGACGGATGAGGGCTGGAAAGGTGCTCGGCTGTATTATAGCACTCTGCCCTTTCGGGATGGGGCCTCTGGCTCTTTTTTTTAAATGAACTCCTTTTAACACGCCTCGGCAAATAGATTTAATTGATTTTCCCCCAGCACCGTGATTATATGGGCTTAGTGTAAATATTTTGCAACCAGTCCAAAATGTGATGTGCTTGTTGCAGCGGGTTTGCAAATGTCAGCTAAAGCAAATGAACACAGCCAACCTGTATGTGCATCACATAAAACATTTAAAACAATTTGAGTTACTATGTGCACTTTTTAGACTGTGATGTGTACTTGTTTTACTTGTTTGCTTTTTGTTCGGCTACAAATACGAACGAACAAGTGAATGAATGAACGAATGAAGACTCATTTGTAATGAACTGGAACATGAGCTAGGGAAAAGGGAAATTAAAAGGAAAGGGAAAAAACTAATTTTTTGCTTGAATATGGGCCTTTTTATTTAAGAAATCCATATATAACTCATTGGTACATACTGAAAATAAAAGTGGTGATACCACACAAACCTTGTGGTGCCCCTGTATTTAAGATCAATTCATTTGAAAATACACCATTCATGAAAACTCTCCGTGGTCGATCTGTGAGAAAATCTTTGATCCAATATATCAGAGCAGAGTTAGCATTCATACTGTGTATTCATACAAGTTTATATCTCACAGTTCTGACTTCTTTTCTCAAAATTTTGAGATATAAACTCAAGACTATTTTCTTACAACTGCTAATTTAGAGCTCACAATTTTGACTTTTTTGTCAGTGTTACGGGTTTAAATATCGCAATTCTGATTTTTTTTTCTTACAATTGCAAGTTTATTACATAAGAACAAAAACATCAAAGTAGGCACACCACAGCTCCAAAGATAGAGAAGTATTTAATTATGTTCTCACCACAGGTGACGTTTCGAGCTTAAGTGCTCTTCATCAGACTTTATTACATATCACACAATTCTGAGAAAAAAAGTCAGAACTGTGAGATAAAAAGTCACATTACACAACACCTGCATAATGTGAATGGCCGAAGTACATAAATTATAAAATTCAATAAAAAAAAAAAAACAGAAAACTAACCAGAATGTTTTAAGAATATCAATATAGTATAATATAGTATATCAATATAAAAAAAAATATATAGTCTTCAGTTAGTAAAGTATAAAGTTTTAAAAAGTAATGCATTATTATGTTGTATTACTCTAAAAAAATGAAACTAATCACGTTACTTACTTTTTATAACAAGTAATGCATTACATTACTTTTGTGTTATTTTATGTCACCTGGGCTGGACTTGCTTATTTGTTTTTTAAAGGGGTCATATGATGCGATTTCAATTTTTCCTTTCTCTTTGAAGTGTTACAAGCTCTTGGTGCATAAAGAAGATCTGTAAAGTTGCAAAGACTAAACTCGCAAATCCAAAGAAATATTCTTTATAAAAGTTAAGAGTCAACCACGCCTACCTAAAACGGCTCGTTCTAACACGCCCCCACATGTCTACGTCACTATGTGGGAAGATTTGCATAACGCTGCCCAAATGTTCACACAAAGAAAGAAGGCGTAACTTTTATTCTCGCTGTAGTATTGTTGCTGCTGCCATGTCGTGAAGGCGCTGTGTGTTTCGTTGTGAAAGCGAAACTACTTTGTTTGGTCTTCCAAAAGAGGATGATATCTGCTTCGTCATGCCTGGAGCTGATCCGTGCTGGTCGCTGAGGGAATACATCAACTTAGCGCTGTGGATCGCCGGATCAGCTTTCACCGTGGACGAAGCGGAGTCCAGCCTGGGGTCGTCACATGTGGTTGCCGCAAGCCTCCTTCGTCGAATCCGCCGGCCGCGCCGTTTCTCACTCTAGCCCGCCGTGTGTGACGCGGTGTGTTTCGTTGTGAAAGCTAAACTACTTTGTTTGGCCTTCCAACAGAGGACACGACTAGAAATCAGTGGTTAAAGTGCACAGATGTGTGCAGCTCATTTTATGGAGGACTGTTTCCTGATCCTGGTAGAGTAGACTACAATGCAGGCTGTTCTGACTCACAGACGTTTTCATATTTAAAACATTTGCCACTGATGATTCAAACACGAGTTTTGAGCAGTGTAGAGTAGCGCTTGTTGTTTGTCATTTCTCCGATCACAAATGCAGACAGGGTTTTATGTTTACGCGGCGCGATGCAACGCAATGCATAAAAAGACAGTATAAGTCATTATAATC